TATCTGGAGCATCTATATTTTCAAAAATCGACTTATAATAATAATTTGTATTTTCATATAAACATAAATTTGCATGAAAATGCATGCCATTTTTACAGACACGATTAAGTATGATATAAGGACAAATAGTAGATTGTCTACAAGTTAATAATGTTTGAACAGCTGAATATTTGATATATATATATATATAAATACACTCATTGTCTGACCCATGTCGTATCATTATTGAATTAAACAGTAGTCCTCCAGGTTGCGCAGGAAAATCGACTTCGTTTCGTTTTCAACTCGTAGTTGTAGGCATGCGATAGCCAACCAATATTGAGGTAAGTACAACGTTTACAAGGGATAGTAAGATTATCACTTTTTTAAAAGTTCAAATTGTTGAATTATATAGTACAAGCAACCGGAACAGATTCTTATAATTGTTAATTTGTAAATCTTCCACGAAATTTTCCACCGAAGTTGAGCGACAACCACGTGCTTGAACGCTATTTCAGAAAGAGGAGAAAATCCTGCACAGCCACATAGTGGTATAAAATGCAATCATGAATAATACATTTTTGGAAGTATACTTACAAGAAAAATACAAGAATAAGCTATACAGTACTTGATATGATAATGCACATTTGCAGTGTATGATGCCAACCATATTGGTCTTACCGTAGAAAACTATGACGTTTTCTATGAAAATAAAGTTATTCTCAAACATGAGTGCTGTTGTTATGTTTTTTTTACCATCAGAGCAACCGAACTTTATGCGAGAGAAGAGTGTGAATGAGAAAAAAGAAAAACAGAAGAGTAAATTTCAGCTTTACTAAAGGCGTAGGAAATTGAGATAAAATAGAGTATAATAGTAATTAGGTAGAAGGATTATCGTGAAGTATATAAGTGACATTTAAGAGAGAAAAGGCTAGAAGGATTAGAACCTGTTGAATATGGTGACCTTTAAGATGTCTGGCGAACTTGGTTAAAGCGTATAACCAAATCCCGATGGCAACGGAAGATATTCCGAAAACGGCTATCATCACACCTTTCGGACTTTTCGAATTCCTACGTATGCCATTCGGCCTCCGGAATGCAGCACAAATATTCCAACGCTTCATCGATGAAGTATTTCGCGGTCTCGACTTTGTATACGCATACTTAGACGACTGCCTCATTGCCAGTCCAGATAAAGAAACTCACCTTAGACACTTGGACTTGGCATTTGAAAGGTTACGCCAACATGGTGTTACCATCAATATACAGAAGTGTCAAATAGGCGTTGATTCACTCGATTTTCTGGGTCACACTATTGACTGTCAGGGCATTCGCCCACTGGCCACTAAAGTTGAAGCGATACTGAACTTTCCGGAGCCAAAGACAGTGAAATGTCTTCGCACTTTTAACGGCTTGGTAAGTTATTACCGACGATTTATTCCTAACTGTGCTTCTCTGATTCAGCCATTAGCAGACCTCCTTCGAGGGATTAACAAGTCTATCGAACTCGACGCGTCTTCTCGACATCCTTTTACTCAGGTAAAGAAAGCTATTGCGGATGCCACCCTTCTTATGTATCAGGATACAACGGCACCGTTAAGTGTCTCAGTTGATGCATCAGACACCGCAATCGGTGCAGTTCTGCAACAACTAGTTAACAAAGAGTGGCAACCACTCGCCTTTTTCTCGAGGCGCCTTCAATTAGCAGAAACGAAGTACAGCACATTCGGAAGAGAACTTCTAACTATGTACTGTGCTATACGTCATTTTCGACATTCAGTTGAGGGTCGTGAATTCATAATTTTCACTGACCACAAACCTCTGACGTACTCTCTGAACTCAACTTCAGATAAGTATTCACCCAGGGAATCACGACAACTAGATTACGTTTCAGATATTCGCCATGTATCCGGAGTGAACAACACTGCGGCAGATGCCTTGTCACCCAAATCGACGGCATAGACCTTGTAAAACTGGCTCGTCTTCAAAAAGAAGATACCGATCTTCAGCATGACTTGTCGAAAACAACTCTACAATTAGCCGAGAAACCCTTAGGTATAGGAAAAGATACTATTCTCTGTGACATTTCCACTAGTACTCCTCGCCCTATCGTGCCTAAAAGTTATCGCTGTAACGTCTCCAATACGTTGCATGGCTTATCACACCCAGGTATTCGAACTACCGTCAAGCTCGTAACTAGTCGGTTTTGTTGGCCTGGTATTAGCAAGGAAGTAAGGGAATGGGCACACACGTGCTTAGCTTGCCAAAAGTGCAAGGTAATAAGACACACCAAAAGCCCCCTTGGCACCTTTCTTATCCCCGATGCTCGTTTCGAACACTTCCATATAGATTTAGTTGGCCCCCTTCCAGAATCTCATGGATATAACTATATGTTAACCTGCATCGATCGCTTCACACGATGGCCTGAAGCAGTACTCCTCAAGGCTGTATCTGCTGAAACCGTCGCTCGCGTCTTTGCTAACAGATGGATCGCAAACTTTGGATGCCCATCTTCCATAACAACTGATCGTGGGCGGCAATTCGAAAGCGGTTTATTCTTCGCTTTGACTAAAATCCTTGGTTGCATGCGTTTTTGAACAACAGCCTACCATCCTCAAGCTAATGATATGGTAGAACGTCTACACAGACAATTAAAAGCTGGCTTATCAGCTGCAAATAACACCCATTGGACTGAATCCCTTCCGTTAGTTCTCCTAGGGATACGAAACGCTTCAAAAATCGATGCTGGTTGTACTACCGCTGAGCTAGTTTATGGCACGACACTACGACTGCCAAGAGAAGAAAGTCGTGAGAAACTGCAGAGTGGTATGAAACACAATTAGGGATAATGTGTCGTTGAAAGTACATCTGCAAGACATATGCATTTAAGAGGAAGCTGTCGAGTCCTTTGAACGGTAATGTACAACTGCAATGTATTGTGATAACCATGTTGGCCTTACCATTGGAACTATGACGTTTTCAATGAAAATATAGCTATCCCCAAGTAATGCTCTTGTTGGGTTTTTAACCAGCCCCACAATTTGCCATCCGGTAAACCTTTGTGATGATAAGGCCACTGTTTTTTCTCTCCTTTGTTGATTAGGTTTTGCTCCAATATCTTTCATTAGTTTCATCTTTATTGACCTCTTCCTAAAAAGAGAACTGGTTATCTGGTAAGGTGATCTGAGACCATTATTACCAACGCACTATCCTTCCTTAGTTGTCAGTGTTTCGTAAAACTGTCCATTGTCTTACGTGAAACTTCTTTACTCGGTACTTTGTACATTGAACTCATCTCATCTTTTTTGTTCACTTCGGCAATTATTTGTCTTTGGCTTCACCATCCCACTCCATTATAAGCTTTCATCTGCCAACCAAGGGCCAGTCTTTATGATATCTCTCCTTACCTTCTTCGATTTCCACATCACCCTCAGTGTGTTCTCATGTTCTTCTGTACATATCTCATCAAGGATGCTAATAGTGTCCTAGCTTTGTTTTCAATGTCTCTTTTACATTTTCGTTCTTCAGTTTCTGGTTAATTAACTTGAAATTTGGTCTACTTCTCACCTTTTCACCCTTGAATTCTCGCTGCACTAGGCAGTGGTCTGAGTCTGCTCTAGCTTATCTCCCTGATCGGTGTCAAGCAGGATGCGTTTCTACTGTCTTGAAATTTGAATGAGGTCTATCTATTGTGTGTCCATCCTTTCAAACATATGTGGCTTTATGTGTGTCCATGTGTTTGTTCATACTGACCCAATCTTCAAATCACTGGAGGTGCAGAAGAATTCACCTTTCTTGTATATTTATCAGGAGCCTCCTGTATCATCTGCTTCAAGTTTAGCTGGTGTGCACACTACTCATTCGAATTTTGATATCGCCGTCTGAAGTTTAGTCAATTACCGTTTGGAACCGACTGCATGATTATTTCCTCTGTCGCTGATCTGTGTTGTTTACCTTTTGAACTGAATCTTGGTGTCTTTACTTTGGGGGATATTTGTTCTCACTACGTAACAGACATCGACACTGATGGTGATATCATGATATCCACTCTTTCATAGTGCCAATGACTGTGAACTCGGTAACTGGAGAATATCACTGACTCTCTAGTAAGTGATTTGGAGAGTCCAGATTCGCTTAATCCGCCACCGAAGATTCAGAGTGCTTCTTTACATTATCTTCTCATCAACCTAGCAATCTGATCAGCCTTCCAAGCTCCGAACACTGGGAACATTTTTTGTCTTAATGCTTATTTTTGCCTATGTCGGAGGGAGACACATCGAGTGACTGGCTTCTTAAAAACTTTCACTAGCCCGCGTTACTTCGTCTCACTTTAACATTTTCTGGTGCTCTGTAGTTTGTGTATCGATCGGATATATTCTCTAGGAGGACGTCGCTATCACCACGACCAACCTTTTCCCTATATCCCTGTCTAAGACCAGTCAATATAGTAATTACTAGTAATCTTGAAGAGGTTACGACGAAGGGTTTGAAAAAAGGTGAATTAAAACACATGGATTTACGCTTCATTTTAGGTGTACCATCCCGGACGACACAAGCTATTTAACCACTTACTTGTCGCTGACTGCCTTCGTTCACCATCGTTTTTACACAGCCTCATGTTTCAGCAAAATGTTCATTTACACTCTAATCCAAGATTAGTACTTTTTCCTTTCACTCTTCCAAGTGAATAACGTTTCCTTACACTGATTCCTCTTGCCTTACTTTCGATTTACCTAGAGTAATCACGCTGTAGATTTCCTCGCAACCCACATATTACTGCTTCCTTTAAAGTGTTTGTCGACGCAAACCTGGTGGAGAAGTTGAGTGGCTAAACGAAATTCACAAATAACAACTCATCAACTCGACTGCTACAAATGACACATTCCCTCCATTGTAATATTGTTTCTTCAAGGTCTTCATACCTGTCCAGTTCATTTGTATCATGTACGCACTAGATGACTGACAAGAAGAGGAAATCCTGTTGAATAGTTGAACATATGGAATCAGATCAAGTTGGCAGTTAAGATTGGATGCTACATTACGTTGAAGTGAAAACTAGCGCAAAAACAACACGTGCGTTACATTGTCTCGAGGATGAAGCTAACTTTCACAACTTTCGATGTAATGGTGTCTGTTTCGGAAATAAGAAATCGGTATGCAAGTCGTTACTCTTATGTATACTCTGCTTAGAATCCTCGGTCATAGAATAATCAATGTATATGACGTGGATAATAAAACTTATCTCCTGAAACTTAATGGGTAAGTCAATTATTTTGAGTAAATATAAACCCAAAGCACCCAGTCTGAGGATAAGGCTATATTACTATTAGAATCTGGCTCTCGTATCCATATAACGGATTTTGAATGGCCAAAAAACATGATGCCCTCCGGGTTTTCTATGAAAGTGAGTTTATTTTCACCGTTTTTTTCTTAATATGTGGATGTGGCTAATAACTTTTTTTCATAAATTTTAGCTCCGGAAGCACATAAGGAACAAGAAAATTGTTGACATAACTCAGGTTGGAGCGGACCGAATTGTCGATATTCAGATTGGTTTCGAGTCATCTGCCTATCATTTAATTGTGGAGCTGTATGATAAAGTAAGTCTTATTACTGTTATTGAACTGGATTCAACAACCATAATTTAATTCTAGGTTCTTTTGTGCATGTGGTCTTCATATTTCAGAGGTGCTGTATAACTGAAACAGTATACCCCACGGAATTTAGGCTAAAATAGGACATAGTGTTGTACATTCAGTGTTATCTTCAGTTTTTAAGCGATCTAAGTTGTTCAAAGCCAAGTAATCATCTCGTTTTGCTGCGCTGATTCAACTTCCAACAAAACTCATTAGTCGATGCGACTAATCGCTAAAGATGTTAATGCATTGAGTCGATTTCTTAATCACTAGCCTAAGTTTTGTTGATAATATCTAATAGGACAAAACAACATATTCAGATCCTATTGTTATGGTAAAATATAGGTTTTAACACATTTTCTCATGTTTTAAGATAATCATTCTTACATGTACTTATTGGTTTATATATTTTGATTACTGGTGTAGAGTCCTATCCCACTTAATATTTCTTTAACTTATACTGTTTTTAATTGATCCACTTAAATGCTTAGTTTTAATGTGGATAGTAATGTCGTCAAGTGGGTGAACCAAATGGTTTGTTTTGTTAGTTGCGTAAGACTTCAGGTGCTTAAGTAACTGAGTAACGTCAGGCGAAATTTGTCCTTCTTTATATATTAAGGTTTGTTGCTTGATAAACATCATTATCTGTCTGAATTTGGGCTGATATGGAAATAGGTCACCGATACTTCGGACGGATAATTTTTACTTATCTGTTCACATAAAATAGGAACTGTAATCATGGGAAGTATCTAGAAAGCATCCATTTCTTTTGTTCTTAGCTTAAATTTCGATTTTCCTTTCTCAGAAGTTAGTCACTGATCAGCATTTACTTGTTTAGTGCCAGCTTTAAGTTAGAGTTACTTGATACCTACTTAGGATTTCATATACTTTCTAAAACTAATACTTTAGGCACTCACACTCAAGTCCTCCAATAATCTTGCATCGTGCTCTTGGTTAAGTATAAAATGCTGTAGCGTATACCATTTGCAACTTACAGCTATCGTCAATTGTTTGTTGTTTGTACAACAATGGGTTTTACTGAAGACACATTAGTCCAGTCACTTGGTCATATTAGTAATGAGGGATACAATTACGTATTTTGATTCACATGATAATGGTAACCGTCCTAAATACAAAACTTTCCACTTTGTATTAAAAGTTCAATATGTTATTGTTTGTCTGGTGTTAGAGGTATCAGCTATAGTCGTTATTTAAGACCTAAAACGTAGTCAACGAAATTCCTTTTGTATATTGACCTTTCATTTCTATATTTTCTGCCTGCTCTACTCTTCAAAGTCATAGTGGATATTTCTTATTTTTTTGTAGGGAAATATGCTTCTTGCAGATGATTCCTATACAATCCTCCACTTACTTCGTCCACGAACTGATAAAAGTCAGAATATTAGATTCGCAGCTCATGAAAAATATCTCACGGATTCTTGTCGAAAAGTGTTAGACTGTTTTAAGGATTTAAATGAAGAGAAATCTTTAAGTGATATCGAAAGCTTCCTCACTCCATTATTTCAATCATCTAAAGGACCATGGACATCTGATGCACAAGCGTGTGAAAATCCTCCCATTAACAAAACACTCTCCTTGGAGCTGCGTAAGCACATGCATGTCTTTCTGAAGTATTCAGTAACGTACTTGTTCCTCTGGTTGTAGATTTATACTTTTATTTTACTGATAGCTTTTTTATCGATGTATCTATATTCGCTTGTTTAAATAGGATGTTTTTGCACTGCCAAATGTCAAAATTCTGTGATAAGGAACTTCAGTTGATGAATAATCGAGGTAGTTTTAATCACTGTATATTATATTTCTCACAAAAATACGCCACTAGTACAACTTAAGTATTATCTGGGTCACATCCACGTGTTTATAGTGACTGTTCCTTTGAACTTGATTTCCCCTAGCGTTAATGTTGTAGCCAGTTGTATTTTCTAGTCTCACAGTACTCCATGAGTGATTCAGGTTATAACCCGTGAAATATTGTTAAGAAGTCAAATGCACAAACCTGTTAGTTACGGTTCTACAAATCATGAGGCACGTAGCAGTTTAGGATCATTCAAAAACCAATCGTCTCCACACTCGGTTCAAGGAGCGTTACATCTTGAGGCGATGTCTTCACCACTAACTTATTCAGTCGAACAAAACAGACTTAGTGTTTTGTCATTTTACACTGCACCCTTTTCAAAAGTATTTCGCTAGTGTAATTCACCTAGAAATACATCAATGCACCTACAAATTCGCTTTAAAACAATTTTCATCTTTTCCTGAGGAAAATAATGTGACCATTGTCATTATGTGTTTGGTACTATCACTCTTTTTCAAAGTGATTATGTGTACATTTTTTCCTTGAGATGACCCCTTCTTATGTTGTCTACTTTTCATTCTAGCTTATGGGAATATCGTTATAGAACACTGTATGCGTGTAGCACAAAAGGAAGTTAAACGCATGAAATGCAGTGAAGATAATTCCCAATCAAAATTTATTGGAATGGATTTGATGGGGCAGTACGTTAAGTTTTTTGCTACGGCTTTGAGAGATATTTTACTGAAAGCCTATTCAGTCAATCAAGCTACTCCATGTGGTTATATATTTGGGAAACCGGATCCATCTGCAGAAGGCTTACGAAGGTAACTGGTTTTATTTTCATCTAGTATTTTTAAGTACATGTCTCTTGTTCATCGGATTTATATACATTCACAAAGTTTAAACCTAATTATTTTCTTAGATATCTCTGAATTTTGTTTGCATATTCACCTAAAAGTATTTCATCATCTGAGCTCTTTAGAGTAACGAAACTATCCTTTAGTAACGACTTCCGAAACGTAGACTGGGGTCAGTCTACTCTTGTACGCTTCCCCTGTATGTTGTAATCTGAAATCAATCACTCTTGTACAAAGTTATAAATTCATGTCACTGCTTACCGTTTACATATTGGTTTGTCTCATTGAATGTTTAACATAATATTCTTTTAGCTCTATTATTCTCGGAGAAACGTATAGACGAATTTATTAAATAATTTCATGTTACTTCTAAGACTTTAGTGCTGAAGGATACATATCTGAATTATCAAGTAACACGAAACCTAGGTTGACGGATTCCCAAAAGTTTTGATTACATATTTCATATTGACCAAAATCCACACTAATTTCATCTTATTAACTTTCATAATTATGTGGAGTTGCATAATTCATCTCTATTTCTTTCACCCTACGGACCGTCATATTTTTCCCTTGCCGTTTAATGGCATGTCTAAACACCTATCAAATGCAGGATTGGTCTGCATCGACTCCTAGTATAAAGATAGGGAGTTAAGTGGTTGAGTGTGTTGACCACTTCACTTGGTTGGGAAGTTGCCTCAGTCCTAATGGACTAATTACGGACAAAATCTGAGCACGGGTAGAAAAGGCTCATGTGGTATCCCAAAGGTACATCCTCTTTGGCGTAGAGGTCATATTCGGCTATCGACCAAAAGACATGTAGTGCAATATGACAGGTAGGATAGAGGTTAGGCGTAGAGTGTTAGGTAAGGAGAGCAAGTCAAGTCACACCAACTGAGGTGGCCAGCATACGTGTTACACATGCCAAGCTATCGCCTTCCTCGTTAAGCAATATTCGCTAATATAGGATTAAGTTGGGTAACAGTTGGCCATGGTATAATCAAAACCTGGAATCATTCTACCAATCTTTCGACTGATATTTTCAGCCACAGAGTGCTGTAGACTGTGATTGAGATCCCCGAGGGTGCAAGAACCCGTGACTGGATAGTATTAGTGACATCGAAATTCCTATTTATGCACTTCGAAAAAAAAACAGATACAGCGAAGATATATATGCATATTCCTTTTCAATTAGTTCCTCATCATCGGCTCTACACTAATATATAGTTTTTAAATCAAAATGGCTTTTACCAATCGAGGGGTTGTTTTAGTTAATCAACTTTAGGTGTAGAAGGGTGAAATTAAGAGGTTAAGAGTCATCAAAACAATTAGCCAATAGATATTAGTAACAAGATATCTAAGTTTTGAATGAGGAGCGAAAATTAATTACGGAATTCAAGATAAGTTAGCAACAAGTTATTACATAATCAAGAAATTTGTAAAATAATGATGACTCAAGATAATTACATAAAATACAAACAAGTTAGTAGAATTAGCTAGAATTGTAAAAATTAACAAAGTTAAAAGATAGTTACAAGGGGAGGGGAAAAATCGTTTTTGAAAACTTAATACATATTATGTAGTTGTCCATGGCAAAGAAAGGGGCTATACAAACTTCTTTTGAACACACAGATTTGGCTTGTTCAGATGAATTCCGATTACCTCTGCTGTATTTAAAAGTCGTACTTGTAGACCATTCGAGAGATTAGGTGATATACGATAAATAACTTTGTGCTAGAATCAACTTGATGTCCAATATCGACGAGATGAGCTAGTATTGTGGTGCGTATGGCTTTATTCGAACCTTTGCCAAACCAAGATGGGAGGTGTTCAGAAATTCGACGATGAACTTGCCTGATCGTACACCCTATGTAACTAGCTCCGAATGGGCAGTTAAACTGGTAAATACACATGGAAGAGGCGAAACAGAGCAGTGTGTCTTTATTTCTTGAACTAAGTATTGGTTGGCTAGTGAATATACAGCATAGTGCAACTGCGTTGGTAGTCCTTTCTATTGACATCACCCGTGAATTGTAATCTTAGGAAGACTGATTTTTTGGGAACAGTCGGCCCCTTCAACTCTTTACTTTCTGAGTTCATGTGTTTGTTCACGAATTTGGTTGGATATCCGTTTCTACTTACAAGACCACAAGTATTACTGAATTTTTCGTTCAGTGTCTCATCCGAACAGAATAACTCTAGCCAGACACCTAACCAGATCACGTTTGTATTGTAGAGGTACGAAGTTCAGGAAGTGAGTATACTGTCCAGTGAAGTAGGTTTCCTATGCGAACGTCTACATATTGTTCCGTTTGTTCGTTTAGTCATTAGGACGTCCAAAAAGGCGATAGAGTCATTTTCTTCCTCTTCTTTAGTGAAGCTTATGCCAGGATGTGCTTTATTGAATTTATCCAACATGTCCTTAGTCTCACTGTCTTTCTTAACAACTATAAATGTATCATCAACATGTAGGCAATAGAAATCAAGATTATATATTACATCTTTAAGATGACCATTCTCTAGTTTCGGCAGGAAAAAAATCTGCTATGATTGCGCCTAGTGGTGATCCCATGGAAATGCCATCTGATTGTCTATACATTTCTTTATTGAACAGGAAGTTTACGTTCATTGTACACTTTAGAAGAAGTTCCTTTAGGGAAGACACAGGAATTCCACTGTCTGTACGTTGCTTCATCAATTCATTACCTATGTAATCAATTGTTTCCAACAAAGGGACATTGGTGAATAAGGAAGATACATCCAGTGATATCATGTATTTGTCCTTCACATTTAATTCCTCCATTCTTTCTACAAACTCAAAACTATATTTTACGCTATTTTTCACAAGTTTCTTATTCAACGGCTGTAAAAGTTCCACCAGCTATTTCACAGTTGAATGGTATGGTGAGCTGGACATATCGAGGACCAGTCTAAGTGGCAAGCCGTTTTTGGGAATCTTTGGTAAGCCGTATAACCTGGGTGTCAACGTGCCGACAGGTTTTAGTGTTTCATACAAGGCAGATGAAATATGGCCTTGTTGTTTCAAATTTTTTAAAGACTCTGTTAACTGTCGCTCAGTCCTCTTCGTTGTATCTTTGATAGTTGATAGTTTCTGAAATTTGTGTGCATCACTTCATAAATTCTCCATTCTGCTTAGGTAATCAGACTTGTCTATGATTACCTAAATGACTTTTACATACAGCAGAGGCAATCGGAATTCATCTGAACAAGCCTAATCTGTGTGTTCAAAAGAAATTTTCAAAGCCCCTTTCTTTGCCATGGACAACTACATAATATGTATTAAGTTTTCAAAAACGATTTTTCCCCTCCCCTTGTAACTATCTTTTAACTTTGTTAATTTTTACAATTCTAGCTAATTCTACTAACTTGTTTGTATTCCCATTATAATCATTAGAGTTAGCAGACTGTCAAGGAAATTTTCACTTATATACTCGATGTGGTACCAATAACTTAAACATAAGTTATTTAACAGACAACAAATCATCGGCCATTGGTAATTCGGAAGGTTACTAGGCAGTTATTGAATTCTTATCAGTAAATGTGAGGCTGCGTATATACATCCTATGACGAAGACGTCCCTTCTTTTGAAAGAAAATATCAGTTTAATTATCTTTCGAATGACACAAGTATAAGTGGATCTATTGTTTAGGCACTTCATTTCTTGGAAAATACACGATACATATAGTGTAACTCATTCTGAGGTGATTCGTAACTAAGGGGGATGAAAATGCACATTAACTATTTTTCATTTCATTTTACCCCATATCCTACGGAACAAATCGACATTGTCATATTTCTACCGTGATTGTATAATTCATCTATGTAAAGATACAATTCTATTGTTTTTATAGCTATGAAGAATTCCAACCATTCATTTTTGAACAGTATGCAGGTAGACCTCACGTAATGTTCGATAGTTTCAATAAGGTAAGTGAAATGTTTTTTTATTTTACATGATTGACTAAGTTTGGCTTAACACTGTGCTAAATCCTTTAAAAGCGGTTGATTAAAAATTGCTTGTCACACTAAATGTCATTACAAGGGTATTTTTCAAAAATTATCTTTAATCATCATTGCAAATCTTCAATGTATATTGTTTGTTGCTTCTTGACATATTCTGGACTACCGAGCCATGAAAATACTTTTTCTTGCAACAGGAATCAGTTGTAATTTATCTAAACTTACGATTTCTGATTGCTTGTTTTACTGGGTCAGACTGATAGGTGTGCAAATTTATAAATATGTGAATTACGTCTCATTACTCACACGGTCACAAAGCAAGCGTGACTTACTATATACAGTGCTACTAATACAAAGAAAGCTTCAGGTTTTTGTTAGGGTGATAGAGCGACTGTCTGGTTGAAAAAGTACTTAGCTGAATAAAGCACCGATACAGTTATGCTAGTCCCCTAAGTCATCTCAGTGTATGCACTGGAAAATAGCAATACGTACAAGTGTTATAATTGAAATATAAAAATCCCTAAAAGATTAGTCCTTTTCATTGTTTTGTTAGCGTTTAGCTATATATTCATAATAGCTCACAGTAATTGCAAAACACCCATAAAATCAATGTGATTGTTTGTTAAAATTAAAAAGTTCTGAGTAAGGCACAGATTTCAGGTAGAGTTGAACTGACCTCAGTATACTATGCAGTTATGAACAAAACAACATACGGCATGGTTATGGTGTGTGTATGTATTAATAAACATATACAAGAAATAACCGAAGTAGGAATTGGTAAGAATAAAACACCACCAATGAGAATAATCACTATAATAGTAAAGACTAACTATTAATCAGTTTTAAAGTTACTGACTATTGCATTTTGTAAGTGAAAGTAGTTTTCCGTGTATCAAACGTTCAAAATACACTGTATAGAAGTAGTAGATAGTCTATAGTCAAAATATAATATGACTATTGTGTATATACAGTAAATAATTCCTTGGAATATCTATATATGTGCGTCGGTGGTGCAGCGGTAGAATGCTTGCCAACCACGCATGTGGTGTGGGGTTCGATCCCCGGTCGACTCACTCCTTTACCTCGCTAAGCCAGCAATGAGACTGGTAAGGAGGGAAGGTTGGGCATGAGGCTAGCAACCCATCCCGTGAAAATGAACTTTACTGCTACCGAAACTTCAATGCTCTAGCTTGAAGCTTGGGAACGTAAAGGAACAAAAAAATGTCTATATATCAGCTAAGCTTCTAAAGATCTATCAGCCTATTTTGTTGATTGAATTAAAGACACTGAAAAATCAACACTTTAATATTTAAAGTAATAGTGATTAGATCACTGTGGCTCTTCAACGATACGCGTTACAATTCATGTATTCATATTTAAATTCTGTTGCTGTTTGCCGTGGCGCGATCTCATGTTTTTTCTGACTTACCAATCTGTTAAGCATTAGTGTTGATGCAGCCTGCTCCTCTATTCACTTAAGAGGGTGTGTGATCACAATACACAGAAAAAATATCTCAGCATATTTCAGTCTCCCCAATATTTAATATAGCTACTCGATTAAACGAAAAAGTAGGTAACTCCGAACTCATGTACAGCTGTGAAAGTCTTTTGTTGTAGAAAGTAATGCTATTGACATTCCTAAGCTTGATGTCATATTGCATCTTGGGGATACCTAAACTTCAGAGGTGATTTCCTACAATCAATATTTTGTTAAATCTAATAGAACTTTGCAGTACCTATTAAATTAAATAGTACATCTTTGTTGGGACACTAGGTAGTAACTAGTGTCATGCGTCTAGTCCTTTGCTTGGTTCAGACTGATTTCTATCAGTCAAGTTTTGAATATGTCCACCAAAAAATTTCAGATATCTGTTTATAATATCTCTTTTGAATCTCTCTCTACTCTCCTCTCTTGCTTTGTGTGCTAGATGGAGTGTGGCAACTCGAACTGCTGCACATCTGTGCAAAGTTCTTCGTTAAAACCAGTCAGTCATCAAAAAAGGAACTAGGCGCATGACACTAGTTACTACCTAGTGTCCAATCAAAGTATCCAGTACAGACGTGCAGAAGGTCAATCGCGAGTCCGAATAGCTCACTGATAACGTCTCTGACTGCATCACTGGATGACACGGGTTTGAATCTTGGAAGGGACATGAGTTCCTTCAAGGTTGTAGATACACCTTGTTAACGAGTGTCAACAAGCATGAAACATAGGTCCAAGGCTTACTACCGATTACTCCCAACTATCTAATAAGTAGTACTTCAATCCCCTAGGCAAGACTAATCGTTATGAAGAGTGATTTTAGTTTTTAAGTAAACTAAGAATTTTTATTGTAATTTCGAAAAGATAAAGAAATGCCGATGGTCTACAGATATTAGATATAGATATACTTAAGGTAGCTTATACTTTGCCTCAACTGCCATTTTATTATCAGTGCAGTTTTTACAAGCTAGATCACAAAATGATATCAGTTAGAGAACCATTGAAAGCCAGGGAGTACTGGTCAACTATCTCGTCCTAGTTTGGGACTCTTCAGTAGTACGCACCCACCGGTGTTCAAACCCAGGACCTTCTGGTTGCAACGCGAGCTCGTAGGCCATTAAGCCACTGGGAACCGATCCAATGGCTCATGAATTATGAATTCAGCCAATTTATGGCAACGCGCGACCACTTCTCAATGTCTTCTTCGATGAGTTGCTGCCTCACCTTCAACGTGGGTTCGAACCCCGGTGAGTGCGTACCGATGAAGAGCTCCAAACTAGGACGAAACGACTGACGGGTACTCCCAGGTTTTTCAATGGTTCTCTAACTGATGTAACCTCATGATGAAACCCCCCAACCAATCAATAACAAAAAATCCCTACAAAACCAATACTTGAATATTTCGTCCTAGTTTAGGACTCTTTCACTGGTCCTCTAACTGATCTAACCTGAAGTCAATCTAATCCTTACGAAATAACACTTGAAAAGTGTTTTCTTTTAAATGGGTGCTCACACACAATGATGACTTTGGTAATTTTGCTCCAAATATTACCATAATTAAAACATTTCATCATTGGTGAACGCCCATTATAAATACATTTATAATAAATTGATTCATTTCACAATGCACAAACTTTTCATAGGAATGATTCATATTTCATGTTGCTTAAAATATTTTAAGACATTGAGTTGAGTTTCATTCGCTTTATACGAAAACTGCTAGTGTAAAACAAATCGGTGCAGCTTCTTCATATATATATATTTATAAAAATGCCTCCGTTCATTAGATTTCAACTCAAAACTTCTTATACCACTCAGACATTCTAATCAGGTTATGTTAAAATATTTAAATTTTGAGAGTCAAACTACTAAAGAAATTAACTCCAGATTTTTAAATAGGAGAGTGAGTAGTGTCAAATAGCTTATCTTATTTTCGTTTAACTGTTGAATAACTTTCTGTTATTGATGCATAAAGTGTACATTAATGTTGATAGTAAAGCTTCTAATCCACCTTTTTCTTGACTGTCTTCAATAGTTTGCATAAACTACACATTTCATTGAGATTTATTATTGTTTGTAACACATGTAACGAATAGTAATTCGCGCAATAAATTAAATCACTATTTATGTGTATTAATTTACTTTTTAACCTTTGTTTTTGTTTAGGCAGTGGATACTTACTTTTCGAAACTGGAAAGTCAGAGAACATCAGAACAAATCTTACGAAATGTAAGTTCATTACTGCCTTCATTATTATATTATATCGTGATTATGTGCATTGCACTTTCTAAGTTAAGCGTTTTACTAGTCTTTCATGTGACAGACCATGAGGAGCGAGAAGACAAGAATACGTTGGACAGACAAGAAGACCTTGACTTCGCGGACAATTTATATCTAATGTCACACAAACTCAAAGATCTACAGGCAGAAACTAACAAGTTGGATAAAGAAGCAGAAAAGATAGAACTTCAAGTGAACATAGAAAAGACATAGGTGATGAGGATACCCAATCAACAATAACAACAAGCACTGATCACTATCAAGGGACGAAATTTGGAGGAAATCACTTCTTTCACTTATGTGAGCAGCGTCGTCTCAACTACAGGCAGGCGGTATGGATAAGGATGTCAAACCCAACTAAGATCGAAAAACCGAGACCGAAATTCAATAATCTGAAATCAGCGTGGAAATCTGCTGCACTCAGCGTAAAGAACAAGACTCGGTTTTTCAACACTAATGTCATTTCAGTGCTTCTATACAATTTAGAGACTCGATGAGCGTGTTACGAAAGCATTTCCAACAGCTTGCTGCAAACTTTTATCAACTGCTGTCTTTGCTCCATAGTGAACATCAGAGGAGAAAAGACCCAACGTCAGAGGACTCTGGCTACGCACCAACAATGGACTTATTGTCCAACAAATGAACGGAAGGAAACGGAGATGGATTGGACATGCACTAAGGAGACTGATCCAGGCCGTCAAATGCAGTCAGAATGCAAAATGACGAGTTTGGCGTTTGAGGGTGATATCTAGGAGATCGTGTCAGGAGGAAATGAAATCTTATGGACAATCGTGGGTGAAATGGGGAGAATTAAAACTACAATTCTAAAAGTTGATGTGGTGTCAAGCAGTAATTCTGCTCGAGATACTACCAAAATAATAAACTTATCATTGTGTGTAAGCAACCATTGACTTACACTGATAATTAACTGAAATGGAGGTGTGTTGATAAAGCTCTATGTTCTAGCCGGAACCCAAGGGAATAATACTGATAGTACCAGAGTTCTATTATATGTATATATATATGCACTGGATGCAGAACGCCGCCCGGAACAAGCTGAATTCAGGAAAGGCAAATAATGTGCTGATCACATTGCAACTCTACGCATCATCATCGAACAAATCATAGAATGTCAGTCAAACCTCTACCTCAACTTCGTCGACTTCGAAAAGGCCTTCGACAGACAGCGTTGTCCGAAAAGTAATTTAAAAACTACTTCAACACTATGGTGTGCCTCAAGTCTTTATCAAACTCATTCAACAGATGGTTATATGACAATGCCACGTGTCAGGTAATCCACAACGGGAAACTCAGTGAGGCGTTCGAAGTGAATATAGGAGTAAGACAAGGCTGACGACTATCACCAACGATGCTATTCTTAATTGTGGTGGACTGGATTATGCATCAGACAGCGTGTGGGGAGTGAGAAGACAAGAATACGCTGGACCACCGATAAGAAGAATCTAGAAGATCCGGATTTCGCAGATGATTTATGTTTAATGTCACACAAATTCGAAGACTAACAGGCGAAAACCAACAAACTCGCAGAAGAGGCAGGTACCAAATACAGGACTGCAGGTGAATATAGAGGAGACGGGGGTGATGAAGATAACCAACGAACAGCAACAACAACAAAAACCAGCACCAATCATCATCAACGTGAGAGATTTGACAGAGGTTACTTCCTTCACTTATCTATGAACCATCGTTTCATCTACAGAAGGAACAGATGAAGATGTCAGAATCAGAAAGGCAAGATACACCTTCATCAATCAGAAATCAGTTTGGAAATCTTCTGCACTCCGCCAGCTTCAGCATATGGAACAGAATTTGGTGAAGTCAGTTCTTCTACACAGGTCAGAAACTTGCACTGCATGTCACGAAAAGGATTTTCAACAGTTTGCAGACTTTTATCAACAGCTGCCTTCGCCCCATACTGAAGATCAAATGACCGGCTGACCAAAAAAGAATTAGCTACAATACACTCTGGCTGGAAACAAGCTAACCAAGAACCCATCGTTCAACAAATATGTTGGAGAAAATGGAGATGAGTCGGACATATATCTAAATATCATCCATTTAACCATAATGTATAACTGTGTGTTATATCAAAATAAACTTATCTAATGTGGAATGATATCTCTCCAGTGGTCTTTCTCTTGTAAACTGTGGTATTTTTTTTCATTGTAATTCTAAGATTATATCATGTGATCCCTTAAATTGCATGATTTACTTGACTTATTTTCATGTAATCCACTCATCTTTTTTGACATTGATACATATTTATTTCTTTGTTTTTAGGAGCAAAAAGCCAACAAAAAAGTAGAAAATATTAAAAAGGATCAAGAACGTCGTTTGATGGCATTAAAAACTGAACAAGTAAGTAATTCATCAAAAAAGTGATTATCAACAAAGGTGGTGCTGATGGTAAGCACTAATCGATTTCTATTGTTGTTGTTGTTGCTGTTGTGGTTAGCATTAGTTATCATGTAACAAGTTTCACTGAAGTAACTAATTAATATCTGTAGAGAATGTTGATTGACTGTATTTAAAACAAATGACAGCTTCTGTTTTATTGGATTAATAAAATGCAACATGTTTAATAGATAAACTGTGTGTATCTTAGATTTAAATAAAAATGACTCAGCAAGAAACCATTACTTCTACAATGTACTCATCAAAAAAGACAAAAAGACTAGTGAAGATATCTTTTCAGCAATTTCTGATATAAAACGTGAAATCATCAACGAGGTATCCTCACTGGACAAATAGTTAATTGTGGATAAATACGAGAAGTCATAAGGCAATCAGATGAATGCATCTACTCTTATCGCCTATAATAATAATATTAATAACCTGTGTTACGCACCATTTATTCTATTTATTAATTCTTACTTGATATTGTAAGAAATACAACCTAAATATATATTATTTTTACTTTTTTCTCAATCTCATGTACAGGAAGCAAACATGCATTGCGCCTATCTACTAGAAGCTAATCACCAGCTGGTAGGTCTGAATATCTGAAGTTTATTTTTATTATGGTTTATTATTATTATTTTCATTCCTTTAGTTTCCTAATAGAACATAGGGCTTCAACAGCACATCTCCATTTCCTTCCTCTTTAGCTGGCTCCATGATCGTCCATAAACTCTCATCTCCTCCTCACACGATCTTCTCCATATCATCCTCGAACACACGCCAAACTCGTCGTTTCCCATTCGGGTTCCACTCAGGAGTCTGACTTAATTTATGACAAATAGCAGATTGATAACTAACTTCTTAATTGCTGATTTGAAAGTACTATCCACCAATGGAGAAGTTAAAAAGTGAGAATTTTCTTTTCGACAAAGTCATCAACTAGGCTGTACATTCGTGTATTTATGGGAAAATGGTTTCCCATCTAGAAAACTTCTGAACAGACCCAAGTCCCTCCTAAAACGATTCTGATGCTTAATCCCGAATTTAAAAGTGATACTGAAGCAGCGATTCTCCGTAAACGGCTTTCGAAATCTTTCAATAAAACATACTTCGCTGCGAGTGACATTTACTTGCAAGAAACTATTCAACCATCACGTGAAAGACAAGCTGTTGCATTGGGCCACTTCAACATGCATATACCAATTCACTTGCTCTTATGGAGCTGAGTACATTGGTCATATCATGCGTCTGCTTGTAAAACGCCCTCGGGAACACTATCCATCTTTGCTAGCAAAGGGAAGACGCAAGTATGCATACCGGTCGGTAACAACATCTGATGAATTCAGAACATTCAGCTTTATTTGAAAAGTCCTTCAAAGTCGTATACAAGATCCGATCAAACCTCTCAAAGGCAGTGAGATCAAGGCATCTAGGCATAGCTGAGGCACTAGTTATCCAAAAGTTGGAGTCCAATCTATGTAGTCAACAGAAATAGGTCCGCCCATTGTCTCCTCCATGGCCATCATAAAAAGTCATTTCTCTCAATGGGGATTATCCTGTTACCTTTTTTATCCATCCTTCCTGTTCATTTCTGTTATTTATGCGTTTTTTAATCCCTAATTGAAGAAAAAGTCAGTTTTATCAGTAATGATGATCCTACTATGTTTTTTATCCAACCTTCCTGTTTATTATCACATCTTATTTCCTGTTTGCAATTTTTATAATTTGACCATTAGCCGGAAGCAGTTCTAGAACTTTCTCACCCATTTACTATAAGTACACGAATGTGCAGCCTAGTTGATGACTTCGTGGAAAACAAAAAATTTTCTTCGCTATAATAATCTTTTTAATATCTCTCATGATCTAGTGCGTATATTCCGTGAAGTGAAAAGGTTATTTGATATCACTACGAAACATTGAGCGAATCTTTCTCTGTGCTGTAAACTTCTTGAATCAAACTCTTAGTTTTGTGTTATATTTTCCTCTTAATCACAAAGTTGAATTTTCCAACTTCAACCGCCTTCGAAGTTATATTCATCTGTTTATCAAAATAAGCGGTAAATTCTTCTGTCCTGATCTGTCTGTGATGAATGTGTTCCTCATCCTCGGAGAAAGTATGTAGGTTAGTTGCTGTCCTCCTGAGTGACTTCGAACGTATAAGGCTTTTTTGGATAAGACTCCTTACCACTAGACTTTAACCCATTGAGGTAAAAATAAATAAATAACTGATTACCTATTTTTAATTATCTTGAATTAAGCCTTATTGACAAATCACTGTACTATTTTAGCTTTTCAACTGTTGGTCCGTTCGTCCACTTTGACAACTCACGATTGTTTCTGGAGAAAAAGGATAGACATTGTTTATTTATTGTGAATGACTCTCTGAATTTATGAAAATCTTTCCTTGCAATATTATTAATAATTATCTTACCTTAGTCAGTATTATTCATATCTTGTTATTATTTTTTTATTTAGGTGGACAACATAATTCTCATGCTCAATCATGCATTATACAATCAATTAGACTGGACAGAATTGGAATCAATAGTTGAAGAGGCAAAACAACGTGGTGATCCGTTGGCATGGCGTATTGTCGAATTGAAACTATTATCAAATCAAGCTGTTATACTTTTAAAGTAGTTTGTTATTATTTTTCGCTTGTATCTTACCAGCCTTATAAAATCTCTTGTACTATTATTTTAGAGATCCATTTGAAGTGTCTAGTGATGGTGAAAACACTGGCGATTCAAGTAAAACGGATTACACACAAGTAACTATAGATCTCGATTTGAATGCTCTTAATAATGCTCGAAAGTAAGTCAAATTAGTATTGCTGTAATGAATTTCTTTTGGAGGATATTTTCGTTTTCTTTTGCTTAATTTCTGTGCTACCAAAAGTGGCACCTTATCTAGATTTATAAGTGCATACTGCATACCACTTTAAAAGTGTGTGTAAAAAAATAAGCCCTAACTGATAGCCACTGCCTTGAAATTGTGATTGAGCTTAATTATCACTATGAACCAATAGGCAATTCGTAGAATGCCTTAAAGGTTAATTAGGTAGCGAAGGCAGTTATCGTAGTTGTGTAAATTGCTGATGTTATAGTAATGGTGTGATGACACAGTTGTACTGCCGGCTGGAGATGGTTTGTTCCCCTCAGACGACTAGCAAGTCAGCTTTTCTGCCCTTCGATTGTTAAGTGCTGGAAAAATTCGGCGTCAAAAGTTGTACATCTTAGCTTACTGTATAGCCATGCTTAGCAGACAGTTAAAATTTTTAATGGGATATGATTTCCAAAACTCTACGCCTAAAAACATTGTGTGAGCTACTCTGAGTGGATATCCTTTCTACTTTAATGTCACACAAAATTAATCCTATTTCTTCAATGAGAACTCAATTTCCTCAACAACGACAGCAGAAAAGTACCTGTTATCCCCACATTTTCATTAGCACGCTGATTTTTTCTGTCCATTTCCCACTCTTTCTCAAGCTTGAGTAGTTTTCCTACCACTAAAACCATATTGTTCTTTCATCTTCTCTGAGCTCTATTGCAACCGTTACTGGCGACTGTTGCCATCGAAATACTGTTCTTAGTCTCTTAAAGTTACACTGCCAAATTTATTTTGGATTTTTTAACCTCTGAACCCTATCCTAAATCTGATAATTGGTCTCAGTTGTTAGAGCTTCGCCATCTCAGATTCTGCATTTATATTGTTACTCTGAGTAGAACAGAATGTGTTAATAATTCACCTAAGCTCATCTAGCCAGTATTTTCAATCGGTAGAACTCACTACCAGTGTCAAACCGATGCGGAGAACAGATAGATCATTTTGTTACAAATCATCCATGGGAATGATCGATGATAGATGCTTGCCTCCTCTTGAAGCGCTTATGGGGACTTTGATAATGCAATATTCTGTTTGTACACATGTGACTGACGACGCAACATGCAAGCGATTTCGAGGCCTTTAGATGCTAAGCGTGTCGATGGGAAAATCAGTTCTTTATTCAGTGAGAAATCGGTTAAACATTTATCATCCCTTAGAAGCTAGACATCTTTCAGAATGCTTTGAAAACTGCTGTGATGACCGTCGATAACCATCATCGGAAGGTTATTAAGTGCCAAAGGATGTTTTGTAGCTTCTATTCCAGTCACATGGTGTGTTGTGTTCAATAAAATCCAAATATCACATACCGTCGTTTTTCCATGTTTTAAGTGCCTTGATTTCACCTTCGTTTCTTCTTGCTTGTACGAGAAGTATTATATATGATATGAGAAAATATGTGCTTTGTTCCACTGAAGTACAGATGTATCAACGAAAATTTAGTAGAAGTTGTCGATTCCTCAAGCATAATTTAAAAACACCTTCTTGTTATCTTTATCATATAAAACATAACTATTCTAATTGATGAATACATCCTCTGTGAAGTTATTCTTTTTTTCTGTAAATCTCCTAGTTACTATTATTGAGTACAAACTTAGAAACTCCATCTTTTTTTAAATATTTGTTTACAGATATTATAATAAAAAGCGGGTTGCCAGTAAAAAAGAAGAAAAAACTATCAATGCTTCACGCAAAGTAATCAAACACTAAATTATATACACATACGTATATTTGAATAATTGCACTGTTTATTAAATATGTTTTTCAATATTATCCCCATCCTTAGCCTAACTTTTGTGTGTAATCAAACCTAAAATGTCCGCCTAGTTGGCCAACTGACTTCCAACGTAGAACCTACTTAGCACAGAAGTGCAGCAATTCAAGTAGCACATAAAAGTAGAGAGAAGAAAAAGAAAAAGGCAGAAGAGTTATAACAAGCAGAAATGTGCAGGAGAAGCAATCATAGCATGGAAAAACGTGACGATTTAATGGATCCACAAGATTGTAAAGAGTGAATGCCACTGAGAACGCTTTTGAACTATGTCACCAGCTGTCTCAAGTCATAGGCTCTTAACACCCCGAGGTTCCCAAAAAGCCAACACGCTGATATAAAAAATAAATAACTGGTTACCTATTTTTAATTATATTAAATTGAGATTTAATGAGAAATCACCATAATATTTTAGCTTTTCAACTAAAGATCTGTTTGTTTATTTTGGAAACGCCATCCCACATGCCTCAAACCAATGATCAGAGATTTGATAGATTGATTCCAGGTTTCAGTTTGACCACTCCCAACTCTTTTCCAACCTAATCCTATATTGCATATGTCTAGAGCGAGTTGAAATATGGTAGTGTGAAATTTTTTTAGCATTCTCAATCAATGACGCCAAACTTTGCCCTCAGGTGGAATAATACAGCAAATTTTGAAGGCGGATAAATATTTTCACATTCCAGGACTTATCGAAGGATATGATCAGAGCACTTTTGTTTAAGCCTTGAATTCAACATATTTCCTCGAGTTCATTTTTCCTGAGTCTTGCATACTTCTCGTAGGAATATAAACCCTGAGATTCCGTTTCGATGGTATTATGTGATTACTTTATGTATACCGATTTCTTGAAATGACTGTAACTTCCTATACACCAAATAGTAGCGTCGTTGATCTGATCAAGAATCTATTGATCTTATAGGTTCAAATCATCAGGCTCATAATCCTCTGTCCTTTTTCAAATTAGAGGTAACCTGTACAACTGTAACTATATTCGAAAGAGCAATGTCCACATATTTTTCAGGTTTTGTTTGAATTGTATGTAGCAGATAAAGCTAGTTCAATATCCTGCCATAACACTGTATTAGATAAATTCTGTCAGTAAATACTTTCAGTGAATTTTAAACTAGTAGTATCAAAGGTGTTTAGGCGTATTGAAGTTGGAACTCCCTAGCGACTAGTCGTCTAAATGACTTCCTTACAAGAATCCTGTTTTCCACCTTCACCTCACATAAGTATCACGATCACATCACTACAGTCTGTTGATCCTACGGTACATATATGCAGTAAAATAGCAAACTGTCCTAGGTAACACGACATATTAAGTAAATTTAATAAACTTCCGAAAGTGAAACTAAGTTCATTTACGTATCATGAAACTTTCAAGACTGTTCGTAGCTTGGAATCCGGGCGTTTTGTTTAAAATATGTTTCAAGGTGGGATTTCTTTGATAGCACTGGTGGCGAACGTCTCAGTGATACTCCAGTCATCATTTTCAGTTCAGTTTGAAAATTGGTGAAAAAAAATGTGATTCTGTATGGAAGATATATGCAAGTCTAATATAGCAGTTTGGTGATTGGTTACATTTTATCACTTTTCAGGTCAGTTGAATCTGAATACATGAGTAGCGATGTTCTGGATGACTGAAAGGCTTGTTTGGATGCACTATTTTAGCTTGTGTTTGTTTCACCAGTCAACCTTGATTTTATTGAACCTAATTTCAATTGTCAGATTTTGTCACGAACTAATATCAGTTAAAGGCTATCGAAAACCACATAGCACTGGACAGCTATTTCGTCCTCTTTCGTGTCTCTTCAGCAGTACGTACCCATGACTTCACCAGAGATCGAACCTGGGACCTTCAGGTTACGAACCCAGTCTCGTTGATCATTCAGCCATTTAGGTAGGAATTCAATGGCTCGTAAATTCTTTGTCTGCTTGCGATATTATGCTGCTCTTTACCAATACCTACTGAGAACACTTCCTTCACCTTAACATGGTGGATTCCACTGTTCGTGACTTCTCACTACAGCTTCAGGACATCCATCATGTAGCCGTGGTTGATCTAGAGATTGATCTTTGGATTATGTAATTTGTTTTTAAACACCTCAATTTGTATAGAAGGGTCTAATTTTTCACATATTTTTATACGCCTATGCTTATCATTATTTATATTTAGAGTGAGGAATAAAAATTATTTTCTTTATATCTTTTTTTTTTTTAATAGGTTTTAAAGTCAGCCACACATAAAGCTGAAATAACTAGAAAGACTGCCAAAACCGTTGCACAAATTACAGAAGTTCGTAAACCTATGTGGTATGTTTATTTGTACATCTCCAGAGAATTTATTTTAATGCATAAGCTGTCTTATACGCGTTAGTATACAAAGCTAGAAGTGAAAATGTATGCTACTGTGTGACTGCCTAAAGTAGATAGACAAAATAAGATCTGAATATGTGGTCAGTGAACTTTGATTTTACTCAGCTGTGTGTAATAAATATAAAATACTCTTTTCTTTGAGATAGTTCAAGACTTATTTGTATGGTATTCAATTAATTTATTACTTTAATTGTATTAACATCTAATATCTATGGTGATTAAAACACCCAATAAGTTAGTCCACTGTAGTTCATATCCTTTCCTATTGTACAACTAGTTTTTCGCTGATATTGCTTGTTTTAGTATAAAGGTTTAATTGTTAGTTAACTGATCGAGTGAAAAACAAATATGCCCCACATTTATTCGAATTCAATACTTCAACATTAAAGTGAAAATAAGACATAAGCAGCCCTAAGAGAATTCAGGCAACTAGATAAATCACTGTAGTTCTGAAATATTTACACCTAGCTAGAAATTTACACGCCGTCAAACAATTATATTCGCTTCTTCTACGGCATTTCCTTCAGTTCAGCGCTATCAATCCATGGTCAACATTTGATCACCTTTGTGTCGCCCATGTAGAGACCTCTAATTCAAACTTACACAAGTTAAGGTATCCAGCAAAGAAGTAATCAAAAAACTATATGAAACAAGCAACAAAATTCAATGAAGCAGGATATAATGAATTCATCAAATTTCGGTGGAACTCTTCAACTGAATACTCTACATACAGGGATATGGTGTTATTTTACAATCTGTTAAAAGACAGAGTGTGGTACTGGTAAATAAGATGGATTATACAGGAAAAATGCATCATATTCTCTCTGATGAATCTAGATTCAAAGTGGATAATATTGTGTTCTAAGTATAGTGAATGTGTCATCTACATACCTCCACCATACTTTTGGGGTGGGGTTGAACGTTTCAGTCGCCATGTTTTGCCACCTATCCATGAATATATCTGCTACAACCGCGGATATTGGTGATCCCATGGCAACTCCCCCAGTTTGTTTGTATATTTTCCCCTGGAATTTAAACACTGTAGAAGTCATGCATAGCTGTACTCCTAGCATTATATCCTCAACTGGCACTTTCGTCCTAAGTTCGATTTCGTGGTCAGAAATGAGTTCGTTTCTGACTGCTTCTATAGCCATATTTATTGGTATACAAGAAACGAACTCATTTCTGACCACGAAATCGAACTTGGGACGAAAGTGCCAGTTGAGGATATAATGCTAGGAGTACAGCTATGCCTGACTTCCACAGTGTTTAAATTCCAGGGGAAAATGTAGAAACAAACTGGGGGAAAATTCTACTACCCCTACGACAAATAGGTGAATACAAAGAAAACTATAAAACTCAATTTTCAAAGTCGTGTGATGACAATTGATATGATTATGAACAATAAATTTTGTTCGAAACGCCTTCCAGTAAATAATACTGTTTCATTGTGTGATACATCTAATAGACAAACTAATATGGAACTATTGACTTTATATGTAGAGAGACTGAAGACATACCCATCCCAATATCGGAATTGAGGAAATTTTTGCCTTCATATACTAAAAAATGTCCTATTCCAATTCGATAGGCGTCTATTCCGTCAAGTTGATGGTGTTGCAATGGGAAGCCCCTTAGGACCACTTCTCGCAGATTTATTCTTGTCAGGCGTAGAAGCCGGTATTTTGCAGAAACATATGCAACAAACAAAATTATACGTAAAGTATGTTGATGATATTTTTATTGTCTGTGAAAGTAGATCGAATGCTGAAGACCTGTTCATAAAATTCAACTTGTGCCATACGAATCTCAAATTCACAACAGAATACGAGGAAAATGGTACCATTAAATTCCCAAACGTTTTTCTAGTGAAAAGGACTGATGGCACAATCGAAAGATTTATATTTGGGAAGTCTTCATGGATAGGACAGTACATACATTTCAGAAGTTTTGTTCCAATTCAGTATAAAATGAACTTAGTCAGAACACTGTTCAATATAGCACGAAAAATTTGTTCTGACAGTACAATTGAACATGAAACAAAGGATCTGAAGAATATTTTATCTAAGAATGGATATCCTGAGAAGATCATTAGTAAATACTCTAAAGAAATGAGCCACAACAAAACTATCTAAGCAGTTCCAAAGAAATTTATCTAAATCGATTTGTCATTCAAAGGCGGCCTGCTTAAATCACTGGGTTACCAGAATTTCCATCCATCAAAATGCTTAAACTCTTCTGCATTTCTTATTGTTTTAATCGTGCAATTATAGCAAATTACCACTACATGAAATCGCGCGCATATTCAATTAGCTTCCCACTAGACGCTGTGCAATTCTTGAAGGAAATGAAGAAAAACCTTACAGAATTGATTCTCTCTTCATCTGCAACAATGCTAAGTAACATGATATACTTCAGATTATTGCTTTACATGTAAATCGTATATGAAGAGGAAATATTTGGAACTAAATATGCTGAAAATTTTTGTACTGTATGTTCACGTATTGTCTGAAATAAAGCTTTATTATCATCATTACAAGAGGTAGTCAAACGAAGACTCGACAAAGCTATCAGCAGAACTTACTATGCTACAAAGCCCATCTTCCTTAACACCAGCAAGTGATTGCTTCAACAATCTGGGAAAGACCAGTCGCAAATCCTCGACACTTCAAACTGTGTATATCAGTTTGAGTGTGTTTGTGAAAGCAAATACATAGGTCGCACAGAAAGGCGACTGTCTATCCGTATGATGGAGCATTCGCCAAAATGGTTGAAAACAGCTGAAGTCAAAGTGCAAAAAAGTTCAATAACAAAGCACTTTGTGGACTACGGACATGATATCGATGTCATCAAGTCATTCACTGTTGTCAGCAGACAAAGAAAAAAAAAGATGCTTGCAGTGATGGAGGCTTGTGCAATTCGAGTTTATAAACCAGGTCTCTGAGTATGCATAATCTAACCACTCCTACTATAATGGTGACAACTTTGTTGATTTCTATTGACCTGACTTTTGTTTGCTTATTTTTCTAACTCCTTATAACTCTTGTATTTCTTTAGAACTTTGACGTAATTCTGTATTTTCTTTCGTTTCAATGTGCATCCTGATCACTACTCACTCATTAAATTATCCATCTTATTACGCAAACATAACTCCCTTATTCGCTTTTTTAGTACCGTGTTTTGTGAAAAAAAAAATATTTAAACGCTATTGTACAGCTAAAGTGGAAATTGAATTTGCGGAAAAGAGTGTCTCTGCTTAACTATGTGTTTTATAATTATAGTCACTAAAACAATTGGAAGCCAGTGATTATTATTTTTTTAATTAAATGCTTTGTGCTCACACGTCATAATGGGTCACCCATTCAACAGATTATATACTGATGTCATGTGTAATTAATTAGCAACAAAGTGAACGTATTAGTCAAGCTACTAATACGCAGTTTAATAAAACCACAGAAGGATGAAATTATGAAAGTAAAGAAAATGGACTATATAGAAATTTATAGAACTCACTTCCTCAGTATTTATCCTTAATTTTCTAGTCTATAAGCTAAAATTGTGAGTTGTAATGGCTTATAGTAGCAAATGCTAAAGAAAATATAAAGCTTATGTTTATTCGTTTTCAACGCGTATTCTGTCTTCGATTTTCAGTTAAATTCAACCAATCATACTGCGTATGTAGGACAACGTTTTTGAAATGTGTTGTTAATTAAAAAGATTGTTTTGCCCTTAATATCAATACCATTGTTGTAATTTTAACTTTGTTTTATATTTTCTTCAGGTTTGAAAAATTCTTTTGGTTCATCAGTTCAGAAAATTATTTAATTGTTGCTGGTCGTGATTCACAACAAAATGAGGTATTGGTGAAACGTTATTTAAAATCTGGTGATATATTTGTTCATGCAGATATACATGGTGCTAGTACTGTCATAGTGAAAGCTCGACATCTTACCTCTGAAGAAATAAGTTCTTCAAGATATCAAGGTAAGTTAAACACCTTTTTCCCATTTTAAGATTCAAAAAATGTGTGAAGTTATTTGATTTATTTTTTTTAAATTTTTTATCATAGCTTGATTCCACACCATATTTTTTGGTACAAATGTGGAATTTTCAGCATGTTATATCGGTAGACCAAGTTTTGCAGACCGACCATTGATATCAGGTGTGCGTCGGTAGGGGATCGAACCCCGCACCATGTGCATGGTCGGTGAGAGTCCTAACCGCTGTGCCACCGATGCGCTATCAACATACTGGTTAAAACACAGTTACCTAGAAGAGATTTTGACGTGCCGGACTGTGGGTCATGTGTGTTGTCTTAAGACTGACAATGACTGTCATTTCACCCCCTTCCCCAGGCTTAAGTAGGTGGGACAAAATCCAGACGCGGGACTTTTTCCATGAAAGCCGACTACTTATGCCTATAACTCACATGTACACTGGAAACATACGATTAAGTCGATCCGTCTGTGTTTCATAAACCAACAGCTACCTTTAGTGTAAGTTTCACTTATTGATGTGCGTGGGTTGATTTTGAAAACAAAGCAAGCCGTAGAAGTAAGCAGCATCATCAAACTGAAATATCCGTTTTTAAAACTTGTCATAATTAAGCTTACTTCAAAATGGATTTCACCACTAACTGATGTAAACTAAAAGCTCATTGAGACTGAATAAATATTGAACAAATCTTTCGTCCTCGTACGTGACTCTTCAGTGATGCATATATATATCATACGTAACTTTCCAGTTGAGGTTGTTGATCAGTACTGATAAACTGAGATTTCAAATGATAATAAACCACTGACAAAAATTTTAAAAAAAAACAAATGTAAAGATGGGTATAATAAAATAAGGTAGTTCAATTATAAAATCACCATTAACAACTTAAACATAATTAATTAAGTAATTGAATGCATGAACGAAGAAACAACAAGTATTATAGGTTAAAAGTGTATGGATAAAAGTTGAGGTTTCGATTGCGTTGATCTTTAATATTTCATGCCTAGACCGAATCAGATGCTTGTCTTAGAAAAGACCACTATTCAAGCCTTTGACTTGAAGTTTGTTCTACAATGACCAAAACATTTTCATATATCATTCGTTTCTTTTAGATCCTGAGGCTCGTATTCATAATTGGTTTGGAATCGGGGATATCTAGCTTCCCTATGTGTATCGTCTACGTCCACCAATCTGGTGAACCTTCTAAGTTAAACATAGGCTTTCAGCCTCACATATAAATTGCTCTCAGTTCTCTGAAATCATTTTCAACCAGCTTTACTACTACTCTTCTCCGTGTCACCCTTGAACCCACACCCATCTCATCACTTCCCGTTCGGGTTCCACTCGAGGGCCTAGTGCGTGATGTCACTTGCATGTCTCCTTCGTGTATGTCTGACCCATCTCCACTCCCTTCTGCATATTCGTTGGATAGTAGCTTCTTGAATAGTTTGCTGCTAGAGTTCCTCGTTGTTTAACCTTTTCAATAGGCTCTCTAATCTTTAGTATTGAGCGGATACAGCTGTTGATGAAAGCCTGTAGCTTATTAGAAATGCTTTTGTTGATGCGTACGCCGTTTATGAATCATAAAGAATTAATAATGTGTCATTCGTTTTAAAAATTCGGATCTTGTTCCTTGTTCCAAGTACTATAGATCTTCCCACTGATTCTAAAGTAATGAACACCTATCTTGCTTTCCCAGTCGTGGCTGGTTTTGACATTCTCATCAATGCCGCGTGTAGTTGAGATTATTCTGTCGAGATCAGTAAACAGACGATATCCTTCAGACTTCTCCTGTTGGCAGTAATTAGTCCTTCTCCTTTTTTAGGTATCTTCATCACATCTGTCTTCTCTATGTTCACCTGTATTCCTGTCTTCGCTATCTCTTCTGTTAACCTGTTGGTTATGGCTTGCATATCTTCGAGTTAGTGCAACTTAAGACATGGATAATCTCCAAAGTTCATGTCTTCTAGGGTCTTTTCAAAATATGCCTACCTGTCCACCTACCACTATCCAGCACATGACTCCGTCCACCACAATTAGGAATATTACTGGTGGCAGAAGGCAGCCGTGTCTTACTCTATTCTTCACTTCGCTAAGTATTCCGTCGTGGATCACTTGGTATGTAGCATTATCTTAAAGCTATTGAATAAGGTTTACGAATGTTTACGGCACTCATTTTTAGTGGTGAATGCTACAAATTTCCGTTCACCTTCATATTTTTGTTAGAACACCCGCCACGTCATGTGCAGACAGTGAATACGACCTACGTGTGATACACGTTGTGAACGCGTGTTTGCTTGAGGTCGGTTCGTGAAGAAGACTGTAGTCTACTCAGGTTATTTATGGAGAGCTGCACCATACTTATTTTATTAAAATATAAGACTCAGATTAAAGTTATTTTCATACATATTCATAAATTTAACATTTTGTAAAGAATTCATATGTAATCACTTTCGCTATTATGATGGACATCAGACATGTTGTTTATATTTACAGAAAGTAATTAAGTGCAGTATTCTTCTCCTACAGTGTACGCTGGCGTCCTCATCCTCACTGCTTATATTATTTTTAGTTCTTTGACATTCTCAGCCATGAAGAATCTTGGATTGTTCCCGAAAGTAACTTTTGATAAATGCGTCTTATCGGCATACTACGTTTATATTTTATATCAATAAGCACTAGGCCGTCTACTGCTAAAAAAAAACATCAGAATTATAGAAAAAAATATTAAAGAAAGGGATGATGTATTGTAGAGGAAATCGAAGCATAAAGGCCACTGAACTCATACATTTGAGAAACTATCATCACTTGCCATCTACATTATTTTTGGATTAGGAGCTACAAATAGAAATTAACTGACTTTTTTAAAAACGAATAAATGCCACCTACACATTACTAAAATATTTATTTGGTCTTCATTCTAAATGACTAGTTAAGAAGCTCACATGACGTTTGCTAAAATTCTGTCACAAGACTTCACTTACATTAGTATCTTACAGCGTCATCATTATTCACAGAATCTAACAGTCTTATATCTTTACCCTGGATGTTTTCAAAATTTCATAATAAGTAATCTCAAATTTTGATCCCCTCCGTGAAGTTCATATAAATTTTCTGAGTGGAACTTTACAATTACTCATTATAATGTCGCTGATGTTCCTACAAACATAACTTTTTATGTATCTCTTCTTTACGCTCGATTTCACACTTTTATGGAACTATCAGGTCATTGAAGAAGACATTGCGAAGTGGTCGCGCTATTTCATGAATTTTCAAAAGTTAGAATTCAAACTGGCTATTGGATCGGGTCCTAGTGGCTTAATGGTCTACGAGCTCACCAGCCTTGTAACCAGAAAGTCCTGAGTTTGAACCCTGGCGGTGGATTCATACTGTAAAGAGTTCCAGACTAGGACGAAACAGCTATCCAACACTCCCTGCAGGTTTTCCAATGGTTGTCTAACTGATGTCAGCTCATGATGAAACCCTCCAACCTATTAGGTCAATACTGTAATGAGAAACCCGTGATTTTCATGAGCTTTTAATTGGTTTTGGTTTGTCCCATAAACTTTCATCTCTTCCCCAGACACAATGACCACATCAGCTTTAATAATAATATTATTATTATTTCCTACCTTGAAGCAAGCAGTTAATCAATTCTCTTTCAATGCTTTAGATAATACAATGGATAAAACTAACAGTTTACCACTACCTCCACCAAAAACTTTATTGGAAGCCGGTAATATGGCTGTAGCACTGAGTTCTGCATGGACAAGTCATATTCTGACAAGAGCTTGGTGGGTTCATCATCATCAAGTGTCGAAGACAGCTCCCAGTGGTGAATACTTGACAACTGGTGCATTCATGATACGTGGCAAGAAAAACTATTTACCACCATGTCCTTTTGATTATGGATTCGGTATAATGTTCAAGGTGAGAATTTGAAAAATGTAAATCATCATTTCAGACTTTAATCTAATGTATGCGATAGTGTAACTTATCCTTTAGTTCTTATAGGAACATAGGGCTTCAGCCTCACGTCTCCATTGCATCCGGTTCTATGCCAACGTTTTCACTTGACTCCACGTTTGCCCACATGCTTCAACAATATATAAACCTTCTATTAAGGATAAAATTCATTGGGATAAATTCTCACAGTGTTATACAGTAATATTTACTGATGACGTTTCGAGCACAATTTATCGCTCGTAATCGTATCAAGTCACTCACGCAACTTTCTTGCTTTGTGTTTATTTCACTATCGAGTTTTTATGCCTCTAAATTAGGTGAACAAATAAGTGAAACATAACCATAGAGCTTAATGCTTTAAAATCTCACTATACTACTGTATGTGTTAGGTTTTAGTGTTTAGAGAAGTGATCTAAACAAGTTGTTAAGAAACACGGTTAAAAATGAAATACTCTTCATTTCTTTTACGATCTCTCATTAAGTCTTATGCAACCGGAATGAAGTTGGTTTACTTGTAGAATCACAGTAAGACAGTATAATTTACCAAATGAAGCCAATTTTACCACCTAAGTTTCTGGTGTTTTGAATCAACTTCATCATTACACCAAATATGACGTCTTATATTGTCTTTGTCCTGTAAGTAATTGCATCTTCACGCTTTCTATGTCCTTCCAAATATTCTAGATGTCACTGACTTACAGTATTACATTGTGTTACTATGTGGCATATCTGTCTAATATAATTTTGTGATATGCAGCAACTTTTGAGTAATTCATATTTCACTGATATTGATACTGCATAATTGCTGGTTGTGTTGATAAAAGCGTTTTACTTTTTTTGATCATATTTTATTATTTTCATAATTTCAGTTACATGAAGATTCTATAGCTAAGCATAAGGGGGAGCGTCGTATTATCGTTTTGGATACACCATCTTCAGAACAACTGGAAGATAAAATGGAGAGATTAACTTTTCATAATGATGAAGAAAATTCAGAATTCCCAAATACTATTCTTCAGTTAGATTTAGCAAATGATCTTTCCAAGTAATTATGGTATTCTTGTTTTTATATAATATCTGATAAATAAAATTATAACTTTTATTAGTTAAATAATACATATTCCACTACCCCATTTGGCTATTGATTGCCTTTGCTTACCTTCAGTGATTTCGTGACCTCTACATTCTAGCAACACTTGCATTCTTAGTAGTCGAAACTAAATTCGAAAATATCAAACTATTTTAGGTAGCTTTAATAAGTTTGAAACTACTTCAGTAAAAATTTCATCAGGAAGCAATATCAGTTCGAAAATCAATGAAAGCTATGAGACACTAAACCTGTTTTGTCCCATTGCGGGACTCCACAATAGTGTACACCTATGACTTCAACATGGATCGAACCAAGAACTTTCAGGTTATAAACCGAGTACATAAAAATGGATGCTCAAAGATGACATTGACTGATGATGGCATTATATTGCGAATTAACAGAAGTCAAGATTCTTCAGTCATTCAACTCTGAACCGGTAGTTGAATGGTAAATGTATTCGGCTTGTAACCTGAAGTTGGTAGTTTCGATTTCTGACTGGTTCATTGGTGTGTAGTACTAAAGAATCGAAGCTAGAATGAACAAACGGCTTTCGATCTCCAATGATCCTCTCATCGATATCTTTTGGTTATGTGATCTACTTTAAAATGAATTAAATCCTTACGAGTAGATTTCATCGAATTGCATTTAGGTCTAACTAGATGTCTCACTAAAGAGATGAGCCACAAATGGATGAAATTCCCGTTCAGGATTAAGATGAATTAAATCTCTCCCAGAAGTACCGCTGTATAGTATGGACATAATGTGCTATAGTAGAGCTACAGATTGACTTTCTTCGCTCTTTGTCTAATCATACATGCAGAACAATGTTCAAAAATGCTATGATGAACCTGTCATATTGTACATCCTATCTAACTGACTCCACAGAAGCAGTCAAACTTGTAGATACCCACAGAGGAGGCGAGATCAGGTAGTTTATCCTTATTTCTTCAGTGAGCTATTGGATGAGTTATGGAATGACAGTATTTCTGTGTTGCACTGAATACTCCTTTTTATATGATTTTTTGGACGTTGTGTTCCAACTTCACTAGTAATGTCCTTGAGTAACGACAATTTTAAGATGAGGAGGTTCCTTTGAGCTGTTGACACACTTTCTTTGGCAGTAAATGCATATTTTTTCGATGAAACTCCTCTTTCTATCTTTCTTCGCTGAATAGTTCATAGATAATCTCAAGTTTCTCACTGTGGGAGTCATTTGAGCATATTTTTCCTTACCCCACGTCATCTTCCTACCCCTTATTCATGACCTTGACCTGTATTGTAATAATGCATGCTCCCTTGGCTTTTATGTAAATGTGTATGATAAATACGTGTGTGATCAGAATATCCAAAATGTCTTGCACAAATTCATCACATGTTTCAGATAAACTACGTCTTCTGTTGAAATTCATAAAAGAAACTAATTGCTTTAGATTACTGTAGCTTCAAGAGCTAATTACTACTAGATTGCATTTATATTTCAGAACTCTAAAAATGAGTATATTCGGGTCTTGATTTTGGTTTTCTATATGCTCTTCTTTTTATTGTTCTACTTTTTGATGATTATCTAATAAGCGAGACGAGAATCGGTGTTTTCAATGTGGCATGGTCGCGTCGATAGTTCTGCGGTAAAATCCTCACCAAACACCCCTATGGTCCAATGCATTCCTAGACCTCTTCGCTTGGCCGGTAATAGTAACCCCGGTAAAGAGGAAAAGTTGGTTTTGAGGCTGACAACCTCACTTCCACTGCTACTGAAACCTTAAAGCTCAAGCTTGAAACCGTATGTTTCACTCCAAATAAAATATCTAAAGAGTCTAATAAGATATATGCGGATTTAATGAGTCAAATTTTTAATAATTAGAAAATTTTTGTTCACTAAGCTTTCATACCATCTTTGAAGATGAAGTTCAAATTGTATTCTATTTACAGACCTTTAAATTCCCCCAGTCCAAAGGATGCTGATGAATCTGAAATCCTACCAGAAGTCCTGCCGAAAAAGGTGAAAATAAACAGCCAAAAGGTAGATAAATCAAAGTCAAGCAAGAAAACTAACAAAGCAGCCAATGTAGATAAGGAAGTTGTAAAAGAAAATGAGAAATCCCATGAAACTCAAGTACCATCGAAGCAACAACCTTTAAAACGTGGTCTGAAATCTAAACTTAAAAAAATCAAACAAAAATATAGTGAACAAGATGAGGATGAGAGATTACTTCGTATGAAGATTCTTCAAGTAATTCAATCAACTATTCATACTTTTATCATTCTTTTTTATTTAAATTATTCGTAGTCTTTATGCCTTCACACCATTAACATGTCGTTTAATTTTCTTCTAGCTTTGACTCGCGTCTGATGCTGCGTCATGAAGTACCAGGGCTCGAGTATGAAATTCTAACACGATGATCGAATATAAGCATGCGTGTCTTGAATGTAGCTCTTATCGGGGCTGCAAACGCTTACTGCCGAAGAGTCCTATACTATAATGAAATAGCTGTCTAGTGTGTGTGGGATGGGGAAGGGGTAATCACACTTATTATATTGTGCAGAACTATTGAGTAGAAGGGTACATATGTGCTTATCGATCTACAAGTACACTTTTGCTCCAGGATTTGTTGCCATGCTTTCTGCTGTTAACGATAGAGGTGTTATTTCATATTCATAGTTATGAATTTATTAGCTCTCAGTTGAATGGATTATGCATGATTGTTCACTGATTGGTGTAAGTTATGGTATATTGGACGCTGCGACGTCTGATATATGATGATCATAAGCGGTTATGTAGTCTTTTAATTCATTAAAATTAAATTATATGCCGGAATAGGGGTAATTTAGCAGTAGAGGTATTAACACTTATAAATAAACAAAAAACCTCGCAAATCGCTCTGTATCATTCATATGAAATTCAAATACTACTGAAAGTATAATGACGATTGATATGTCCACTTATGGAATGAACCCTAACTGATTTCAGCGACTTTATGGTATAGTCTTAGGGATTTAGAATATGTTGATGATATAGCCCTCCGCCTAGATGTACACACTAATCAAACGCAGAGTCGTCTGAACACCTTAAGCAGCAATCTTTGAGTATTTTGCATGCCATTTGCTCTTGTCATAGGTAAGAGGATGCTACGGAATGGACTACATCGACTCCTAGATTAAAGATAAGATGTGAAGTGGTAGAGCGTGTTGACCACATCACTTATTTGGGAAGTTGTATCAGCATCTCAACATGTATACACAAAGCTCATGCTGTATTTGCCAACCTACACCATCTCTGGTATAGACATGATATCCGGCTATCGATCAGAAAACGTGTGTACTGTTCAGCATTTCTCTCCATCTTCGTTTATGTCTGTGAGACATTGAAGTTAAGATTGAAAGAAATAAAAAGGTCAGCTGTCTTTAATCATAGGACGCATACCTAGCCATCGCCTTCCTTGATGGGTGATGTTAACTGACGTAGGGTGGATCAGGTTGGAAAAGAGCTAGTGGTGGCATCAGTCCATGAAATCTTTTACAGTTTGAACCACATAGTTTAGTGTAGGATGTCTGGTTGGGGTCCTCTGGTCGCTAAGATCCAATGGCTGAAGACATTTGGTGATATGGCTCAAAATTATCCTCAGTGGCGTAGATGCATTCACCCTGCGTGATCTCCCGTATCCATTAAAGTCTACTGTCTTTCCATGTTACTATTCTTTCTCCCTCACATTTCTGTTTATTATTGTTCTTTTGGATCCCTTTTTTCCCCTCTTTTGTCTTCCTTTGTGCGCTTTATAAGGCGTAGCAGGTCAAACTGCTGTACTTCTGTGCAAAGTTATCTGTCGAAACCAGTCAGTCAGATTAATACTTCGCTTGGGTAAGAAAGATGAATCGTGTGGTATATAAGGGTGCTTAAATATTTTTTATATGTCGAATGCCTGCATACAGTTTCACATATGACGTAGGAGAGAATTAGACGTCGAAGGTGTTAATTTGATCTTATGAAACTCTCACAATAATTTGTATAATAAAGGACAATTTGCTCAAGTTATCGTTATACATTCACTCTTTTTACATTGCTATCGAAGTATGACCGATTTTTGGCCATTAGCAGTAGTCGTTAATAGGTTGAAAAATCGACCATAGTGACTTCATGGTAAGTAGCTTTTGTTCTTACCTTATTTTCATTTCTGCATACTACTAAACCGTGAGTTTGTAGATCCTGATTTCAGATCATCTTATTAAATGAAAGTTGGTTTGGATGCCATTTATACTCGTATTCAGGCAATAATGTTCGCAAGGACACCATACATCAAGCTTTCAAATATTCTGAAAATTAGACCTCGTCGTTTTACCCTACAGCTTTATTGAAATAATTTTGTATCTATCAACCAATCATCACCTAGGTTTATTCCCTAATACTGAAAAACCATTTCGTAGTTTGGATTTATCTACATGAATTTCATCTTCAAGCGAATGAAGATAGTTTGTACACCATATGAATGCTCTTCGAAATGATAATGAATGATGCAAATTCACAAGAAAGTCGCATCGTTTAACCTTATGGTAAAATATTCAATGATTTTCAAGAGTTAGTTTGTAAGGATTTGACTTGTTTCAAGTATGAGCACCGATTGATATCAGTTAGAGAACCATTGAAAACTAGGGAGCTCTGGACAGCTGTTTCATCCTATTTCAGGGCTTATCGGTAGTACGCACCCGCTGGTGTTCCAACCCAGCACCTTCTGATTACAAGGAAAACTCGTAGACCATTCAGCCACTGGGACCCACCTCTATAGCTATTCCATGAATTCTATTTTCTTCTAATTCGTGATTTTAGTGTCATCACTAACCAATGTCACTGGCGAGTAGTTGTCCTCACTCCCGACTGTGTGTGGTCCCCACTGGTCATGACTTCTCACTAAAAAGTCCTCCAGTCAACTTTGTCCTGTAGCCAGTCACTAGCTGTATTTAGTGACTAGAACTTCAGATTATCGATTAACTGATGCTGTATTACTTTCCACCTAATTTCTACTATTTTCTTACTAATCTTATGATATTTATTTTCAGGGGGGTGAAGCTAAGCCAAGTCAATACCATCAAATCCTTGAACGTGATAATCTTTCAAGTCAAAATAAAGAAGAGGAATCCACTCCCGATAACGAAACAATATGTAGTCCGGATAGTGATAATGATGATGATGATGAAAAAAAGGACGAGTTGTGTGTTGATGACGAAGCTGAACCACTAAATTCCCCAACAAATCCAGATGATAATCATTCTGTTAAATCTAGTGAAAAAAGTTTACAAGACTTGGAAGTTGAGGATGCAATCGATAATGAGGAATTCTCAGATGAAACTAAAGAAGATGATTTAATCCAAATGTTGAATTCACTGACTGGTCAACCATATGAAGATGATTTACTGTTATATGCTATTCCAGTTTGTGGTCCTTATTCAGCCATGTTGAAGTATAAATACAGAGTGAAATTGAACCCAGGAATTACAAAAAGAGGAAAAGGTATGATAGAAATAGTGTTTCTGAGCTATTTCTTGACGCCTACTTCTTTTATAATAATTGTTAGTTAAACTGAATCAGAGACGTGTACATTCATTTTCTCAATTCCTACATGTAGGAAGGTGTAGACTTCCTGGCTGGGGTCCTCGGGACGGTAAAAACCAATGGTTGGAAACAATTGGTGACACGGCTGAAATCATTCTCAGTGGCTCAGATGCATCCACTCCTTGTGACTTATGACTTCCAATTAAACTGTTTTTTTCTTCGTTATTACTATTTCTTTGTCTCACACTTCTGTTTACTATCTATATTATGCATTTCTTCTCTTGCTTTGTGTGCTACATGGAGTATGGCGACTTGAACTGCCGCACATATGTGCAAAGTTCTATATCGAAAACCGACCGACCAATTCCTACATAGAATCAGCTGTGGTATCATAATTCTGTTTCCTTCAGTAATTCATTTTACAACTGCACTTCACTTGAGTATATCAATATGATAAACTTAGAGCTAGGAATAAATAATAACAGTAATGTGTTTATGTCGATTATTTTTCTCGTTAATTGGTTGTATTGGACTGAAATGTGGCCTAGAGGATAAGGATTTATCATTTGAAACGATGAGCACTGGGTTTGAGTCTCACTGGAAACACTATCACTTACTGCTCATCAAACACCTTCTTTTATCACCATTTTAATAGCACATGTGGACGCTAATTAGATTCTGCCCCTATTGTACAAAGTCCCTCCTCTTTCAGTCTATCACATACAAATAACCCTCTTATCCAGGATTTTTGTATATTATATCACCATACATTTCTATTCGTACAGAATACATGATTTAATTGTGTGTTAGCATAAACATGAAGCATTCAGAAGATGTTAGTCTATATCTTAGTTTATACAGAGATACACTGGGCTTATTTTCAACTTATCGAATTCGTCTCGGAATGGATTTCTTATGTTATACATATGTCACATAGTAAAATGAACCAAGCTTAATGGTGCTGAATGACTTAATGTTTAGATATCTAATTATCATTATCATGGAGTCGTTAAGCAGATAATTTTGGTTGGACGGTTGAAACACATAGATTTTAAAGGTGTCATCCAATTCTGTTTAAATTACTTAGAAAAGCTGTGGAATTGCAGCAATTTATCGAAGAGTCGTTCTCTGTAAATATTTTTAAACAACTATCCATACTGTGTTATCCTTACGGTATTACACCATTAAGCTATCATAAATTCTCTAAACTAATCTTACTAGATGCTATAGGTTTTTCGTGGATTCATAAAATGCATCCATTGTGCCTCATTTCAATTTGGAAATCCATTTTTCAGTCCTACATCGAATATGAGCTAACATGTATGTATGCTAACATTACTTGTACCTGTTAGTTACCTACACCAGTTTTGTGGGTAGGTTATCGTCTCAGGTTACTGTTGTTTCTAAAATAGTCTTATGACCTTGCAGCTGGATCCCTATTATTCTAAACTCATGATTAAAATTGAGAAGAGGCAGACGTATAATAAGTAATTGATTGACAACAGTGGTCAAAAACCAAGCACAGTCTAAAAATATACAGTTTATTACTCAGTAGCTCAATAACCGGGTTAGTTAAAACAGTGGTTAGAAATATTTGAGTAGTCGATGAATCCGTTTCCTTTCCCATTTATCGCTGCAACTATTATTATTACCTTTAGTTCCTAGAGAAACATAGGGTTTCAGCCGCACGTCTCCATTGCGTTTGGTTCTCTGCCAACGTTTTCACCTGGCTCCACGTCTGACAACATGCTTTCATCTCCTCTTCACATGACCTCCTCCAAATCACCCTAGGACGACCAACTCGTTGCTTCCCGTTCGGGTTCCACTCGAGAGAGATCCTGTCGTGTGATGTCACTTGATGGTTTCCTCAGAGTATGGCCAATCCACCTCCATTTCTCCCTGCATATTTGTTGCACAGTCGGTTCCTGGTTGGTTCGCTCCCACAGATCCCTGTTGCTGATCTTTTGTGGCCATCTCATCTTGAGTGTTGAGTGAAGACAGCTGTTGATGAAGGTCGGTAGCTGCAACTACTACATTACAGCTTTTCTAAGGGGTAGATATACTTCCGAACAGTTTGTTATCCATAGTTCTTGTTTTCTTAGAGTTAATTCAGCAGCGTTATCAGCATATCTACATCCGGGAAGTCTGTTCTTTTCATTTTCTCTTTACACGAGAATATCATTTCTACAGTTATCGTCAAGCGAACTTTTGTGACTTTCAAGAACTCATTAAGAAATGTCTTTGTTCGGTTTTCCATTCAATTGTCATAGGACTACAAAGCACCTTATGGTTCCTAACGGTAAAAACAATTTTTTCCACCATAAATAATTCTTTTTAAACTCATCAAATACTGTGGTATATAATTTATTGTTCTTAAGCTTTTTAACAACTTTATCTTATAACATTTTTTACGATCCTAGCTTCTAAAATGGCGATGTTTCAATTCACGTCGGATAAGTCTGCAACAAACAGAGAACGAGAACTGATGCGTGCAATGAAAGATGAGGAAGTTCCAAGAAATTTCCCTGGTTGTGTGAAAATTTCGCTACCTCAAGGGAAGACTTTAAAGAAAAAGTAGAACATATTTTTGATAAATTCTTTTTGACATTGATTGTAATTTCCACACCTGTTTCCAGCACACTTTTCTTTTTTCTATTGAAAATAATTTTATTTATGATATTCCTCCCTTTGCCACTGTTTTAATGGTTTTTTGAACCATCTCACTTTGAAAGTCTTTTCAATATATTACTTGATTTTTGTTATTAACATTAAGTGTAACAGCGTAACATTTACGAGTAAGCAGATTTTTAGATGAACGGAATAGTAAAAATACGTACTGAGACAACACAACTCACTGCCTGTGTAATTCGTACCCCACCACTATGTTGTAGGAGATCTAAGTCTAATCCCACCTCTCAGTAAAATATATCTTTACTTAACTCCTCTCTAAAACCGTATTACATCGAATTTGGGGTAGACATTTCGTACACACGGTTTAATTCAGTTAAAGTAAAGAGTATGTTTGACACTGTGAGTAGATAATTTATAAGTGAAACTTTCTTATAAGTTGTCAGCACATTTTCACAGGCCATTATAACCAGTGTTTATATGACAGTACAAAATTTTACATATTCTGTTAGTTAGTAACTCCGTCGGACGTTGGTGGCCTAGCGGTAGAATGCTCGCCAACCATGCACGGGGTTCGGAGTTGGATCCCTGGTCGACGCACTCCTTTACCTCGCTCAGTCAGTAATAAAACCGATAAAGAGGGAAGGTTAAGCATGTTGCTAGCAACCCCATCCCGTAAAAATTCACATGACTGCTACTAAAACTGCAGAGCTCTAGCTTGAAGCCTTATTTCCCACTGGGAACTTAAAGGAATAAAATAATAATAAGAGTAACTCCGTCATTTCTTGATTGTGTGATGAATTATGTGATGGTAATATGTCGTTAAATTAAACTTATTTTAAATCTTCGTAGTCATTTCGTACTAAGTCCTCAACGTATGTTGTAAAAGTCAAACTATGTGTACACTTCTCCACTGTTATGAATGTTGACACTGATTATTAAACAAAAATTAAGAAAAAACATCTGATGCAAAAATACAACTTTCTGTATGATTATTGGCGTATCATAGTTTTACATTTATTAGCTTCCATTTGATCTTCCAGTGCATGTTTCAGTATTGCATACAATAAACCAGTTCCTAGAAAATGCATGAACAGTAAGACAATTCAGTGTATTCTCAGTTTACCTGACGGTTTCAGGTCAACTTCTTGTGATTCATAATCTGTAAAATTCAGGAAAAATGTGTTTTTTAACTATGGGAAATGTAGATAAAATGTTTTGATTTATTGGTTAAATAATGATACACAACTTATGTCATTCACCTAAGAATGCCAAACCACTATAAATAGAGAAGTTCTCTAAATAAATCTTCAATGTGTTTTAATTGTAAGTTTCATTATAATAAGAGCTGAAAAATGCCGCACATATGGTTTAAATTGGATACGAATATGAACAAGAGTATCATTACTGAGTAACACTCTCCACCAAGCTACGTAGGATATAACACAGGGAGCTAAACAAAAAGCAACCAACAGCCAAAAATTACTGCGATTGAAGAAATACCCTGGTTAGAACTAACTATGCATTTATTCCTACTTCTGTGGTTATTTTCGCACTATATGAAGTAGGAGCCTGTATTATAGGTCTCAGCTGTGTTGATCTCATTCAGAAAAAATACACTGTTCATAATGAAAGTAGTGACTTCATAAATTTGTGTCATTGCTTGAGCTAGTACCCATTCACTTTTAATTCGGTCTAAATTCTGATAATAAAGTACATCAATGAAGATGTTAGGTAATTAGTTTCAACATTTGTCACAACCTCTTCGAACGATAAAAATGTATGACCACTTTACGTCTTCTGCAAAATCATGACATAAACGTAAGATTGCAATATATCTCATTGAACTAAACACTCGGATTTGAACCCCGCTCCACATACTTTATCCTATATGGCTGATTAGTGGTACATGAAAAATATGTACTGCTTAATTATGTTTTATTGGCAAATGTGTAGATCCATCATAAAGTAGATATATATACGCCCACTGCAGTGATATGTAGTTTTTTTGGTAAGAAAAGTATTATGCGGATGAAAGAAAAATACAGCTCAAAGTTTTGGCATGTGGTTGTTAGGTGATTAAGACATAAAGTGACACAAAGAAGCTAACTGCGTTATCATTGAATCGTCGATTTTCGACATAATATGATACAATACTGATTATAATAATAGTATTGGTAATTACCAACACTTTTATGACTTCCAAATACTGGTGTTATTTTACTAAGGCTTAGCAGTTAACAGATATTATGATAAAACTAAGGTAATCTCTATCAACTTGCATGTTCGGGAGAAATTTTTAGTTCTCCAAGCCACCTCTGATGAGTTACGATAGCACAATGGACCTGAACATAAACAAATTAAGAATCTGTCAGATCCCTAACTATTGGTGTGAGTCATGTTCCCCTACTATCAGATCTTCCCTTTACAAACTACAGCAAATTAAATTAGTGCTTTTCAGCATAGATTACTTTAACCCGAGGTACTATGTGACCTTTATCTGCTAAGTCTGGAAATATGCAACTTTCAGCTGTTTGAACTCCCTCTTTTTGGAACCGATACAGTAAGTGCTTTCAGGACCAAAGAGATGGGTGTGATCAATTCAGCTATATGGATTGCAGAATAACAGAACTTTTGAGGAACTGCAATCTTGCTATTTGTATCCACAACTGGTAATGAGGTTCCTAATTAGTCTCATCATACCAATCTACTCACTAACAGTGTAATTTGATCTGTTTAGTCAACTGGCTTCTTCAACCGAAATCAGGGGACCTAGAATCTTCACTTAATACATAGTGATGTATTACTCAAAACAAAACGTGAATGGCGACTTGCATTTCACTTTCAATGTAAGTATTATGTCCGTTTTTCGTCTGTATTTTGTATAGCTGCTTGATTATATTTCGCAGTACGTTTGAGAACCACACAAAATAGAAGTGTTTATTATCGGGGTACAAGAAGGATTGCAAAACATCGGAGAATATTGAGCGATATTCTTCGTGACGTATCTACATTTTTAGTCAAGGGTGCGTTGCAAAGAAAAACCACAGAGATTTTTAACGTGCCCAGTTTCATATACCTAAAAGTAAAAGTGACCTTTAAGGTTAGCACCGAAACAATAATTTAGGAGAAAATAAGATGTTCAATTGCTACTCAAATATTTCTTGAATTGGTGGTTACACAATTTGTGGGGACTGGGGAATAAAATTGTAGTCGCCAAGTATTATCTTACCATTTCCATCGTATATTAGTAGTGGGACGAGGCGAGCTGTTGGTGCTAAAGCAAATTTATAAAGTTTCCAGTGTTTGAATAAAACATCCACAAAAAAATCAACCGATTTGATGGAGTTCGAAATGGAAAATAACTCGATATAATGTGGAGGCCTCTAAATGAGTGAAGCTCTATAAGGAAATTCATTTTCTCCATAAATTACTTGAATTGAATAACTCAGCATCATTTTGTCCGTAGTATTCAGTATGCTGTGTATGTTTTCGTGCGGTGAACCTAACTGATATCGTGAAGTCTCAATAGATTTTACTTGAAATTTCCTTCAAAATTCTGTTTATTACTGAAACAAGTCCGCATAACTGAGAGAAATTGAAATCCTCAGTCTTTGCAAAATTTACAGCTTGATTTGTTAGTTCCAGGGAAATCCTTTCATTATTTAGAAGTCCGATATCTGTCAATGCCTGAAGTATCGCCTTCTGTTCAAATCCTTGTATTGAATTCTCAAAAATTAAGTTATCACAAAACCCTGACATTTAAAACAGAAGGCTACCGTTGCTATCGTAACAGCTGTGTACAAGGTCAGTGTTATCTACACGAAGTGAAAAAATGAAACCCAAAAATTTGAAGTCTTATTACCAGGAACTGTTGCTTTTTATTCTGGTTCGTCGAAGTTAATGTTTAAGCACCAACGGACAGATGACCTTGAACTTACAATACTACAAAGACGATTTCTGGGTATAAAATACATATATTTATGAAAGTAATTGTTTAAAAGACGTGAAGCTTACACAGGATACCTCTCTCTGATGTGTGACAAAAATACTTCTAACTTTCGGATTGGAGCATCAGTAGAGTAATTCAACTACATTCTATGCATGTAATTATCTAGGTCTCCTAACCCTCACAATATTCATAGAATTTCCTTATCTTAACCCTGACGTGAAAATATCCCAGTCTAACTCGAAACAACAACTTAGTATCAGCCTCATTAGGTTAACCTAACCCTAACCTGTCCTCAAACTAATCTTTCCCAAACTTGAAACTTGCCAGATATCCCATTTGATAGCATGACGCTCCGACAAGTATATTTTACCCACGATTACAATATTATTTGCCAAGCTTCACTGACTTGCCTACTTGACGTTCCATTGTCATCGATGTGATCGCACTACACTGGTTCTTACTGGTGACTGATGTTTAAATTGGTGCCTGGTCTTCTTTATTAGATAAAAATGTCTCCTGAATTATCTGGTTTTATTTTCTTTGGTGGATGAATCGAAATTACAAAATACTGTAGCAGTTTGAGTCTTAATTCAGCTGAACTTTCACCTGAATCCTAGGAATACCGAATTTCAAATAATGCTCCTTGGTGCTAAGAAAACATGGAGGATGGATACGTTGATGAGGCCCATTAGGTAGTCTCCAGACCAGGTAGAAGAGTCTTTGTTTTAATATTCAACAATAATTGTTGCTGTCCGCATAATTGCGCTTACATGGAGAAGCTGCAGCTAACATCTTTAGTCAACTTTTCTCATTATATCACTCCATGGATGACACTATATAAATGACTTTAGTAAACTGTGAGTGCCAGGACACCACGAACAACTTTCTGAACCCATGATATATGGCTAAAGGTTGCATGAAGAACATATCTGCCGCTACTACAGTACTCCCAGTACAAAGTCGAGTAATTCTACAAAATCTGTCTGGCTGCAAAAGGTTATGAATAAGTTCTTTTTGACAACCTAATATTCAAAACAACCGGGACCACCAGGAGTGCCTGGTAGGAAAAACTACCAAGTGACTTCAAAGAAGCTTCAGAGATTATAATACCAGGAAAACTGCGCTCGTGTATATATCCTTGCATCTCGTGCCATCTGCAATAAGTCTGACCGATCCATTGTAATAATTTACTGGCAAATTAAGACGATGACGGAATTTTAGTGCACTTGTGAAGTCACATCTTCCCAGGAGTTGCCGCCCGTGCAACACTGTCTGCACGACTGCAGTCTGTGGCCACGTGAATGTAAATAAAACTAGGTTCATTTTTGGGGG